GCCCTTTTCAATTTTCTTTTCTCTTGGATACATCAGCAGATGGAAAGGGAAAAACACAACCAGGCTATTTTAAATAGAATACCCCAAATTCCTGCATATGACTAGTTGACATTCAAGAACATACTGTATCTGTGTGAGCGTGTGAAGCTAAGATTTACAAATACAGAATCCTGTGATTATATATTCTCCTGCAATTCATGTTTAAAGTTATATTACCATGCTTAGGTTACTAGATGAGAAACAGTTTGTAGAATAATATCTCTGCATAACCATGACACTGACAGTTTTAAAAAGGAATTCCTTCTTTTTTTCTTTTAATAAACAGTTACCAGTTCTTTTGTAACTTAAGGGATTACAGGGAAGATACTAAGAGTATTTTCCTAATCAAACTATTGGACCATATTTTGATGAGATGTGCTGGTGTACCTTTCCTACAGTAATCTTTGACATGTACCTCTACAAAACTCTACCTTCATTTTTAACATGAGATAATCAAAAGACAAACTTTTTTACTTGTGTGTTTGGACTGTGAATTCCTTGTACCAGAGAACAGGTGTCTCCTCCCTACTTTCTGCCCAGAACAGAGGTAATTTGTATTTATTAAACTACTTAAGAGCTCCAGTAAAGATCAAATAAGTAATAATGAATGCCTAGCTTTATTTCAATTCCATATGAACTATGAAAAATAGAATACTACTATTAATTCACTTCTAGCCTTTCTTATAGAGTTGTGCTAAGGTTACTTGTACCTAACACATCACTTACTGCCATAGCTTATCCTTTTCCCCACAGAAGTAATCCTCCACACAGAAACAATTTCTGCAGGATTAGGTGTTTATAACAAAACACAACAGCAGCCAAGTTTGACATGCACTTAATTTTCTGCACCTTTAAGAGGAAAAAAAAGAAATCCTCAAACGCACTTTAAACTCTCTTTGATGTCTTTACTGACTTTGTTTTTACTTAGTACTTGCTTATGTGCCATAAGGCTTTTAATTCTTGGTCTCATTCACAAGCAGAACATTTTCTGTTAATATTTATAAGGCTAATTTTATTTGGAAATTGGAGAATCTGCTCTATTCTTTAATAATTCATAATTTTATACAATGATCAGAGTAGCTAACAGAATGATTACTAAAAATAAATTACAGCTATTGAACTACCTTCCAATACTCTCAGTATTTACCATTATACAAAATACAGGCACATCAGATTCACAAATTAAAGCACTCTGAAGTGAATAAGGCTTCAAAGCAAAGATTTTTAGGAGAGCTATTCAGGCAAGGGAAATTCATTATTTTTAGTGTCGTTTGCCTGTAGTGTGTCCTCTTGTCTCCCCATTGCCTCCGCCACCCACCCCAGTAACTACGATAGTGCCTGCTGGCAAGGATAAGATAGCTATAACAGGTCTCAGCAATAGTCTGGAATTTGAAAGCTAGTTCAAATTTTCAATTGTGTGCATTGTATGTATGATAAACTCAGGAATATTACATTTTTATAAACACTGTAATGTTATGCTCCTTGGTTTGGCTAAGATGCAAATAGTGCGAAATGATCTGTGAGCAGAGCTTTCAGACCCTGTCACCTTGAGCATGAATTTAACAGGCAGGGGACACAGGAGCTGAAGAATGCTATCAATCTGTACCTGTCCCAAAACAGACAATCTGGGGTAGCTACTGGAGGCACCAGCCCATGACAGATCACCGCAAGCCGCTCAGCTCCATCCTTTAACCAGGTAGATCATTTATCTCCTCACCAGAGCTGCATAAAGGTGTGACAGAGAAGAACTGATACTTCAGCAATGGTCCACCACTGCCATACCTGCTACAACCTTTCTGTGGGGAGGGAACTCTGTGTCAGCTGATGAGATGCATCAAGAGGTCAACTCAGCTAAGCAAGGAAGCCACAGTACAGCTCGAATGTGACAAGGCCGCATACAGGACAGACAGCTACAAAGGAGGACTTGAAAAACATTGCCTGGGCATGTAGGCATGGCAATTATTGTCAAGGAAGCCAAAGCTCAGAGAGAGTTGAGACCTGCAAGGGATGTCAAGGGCACAAGAAGAGCTTCTACTGCTATATTAGTGGTAAAAGGCTGACCAAGGAAAACGTGGGCCCATTGGTGAATGGGGCAGATGATACAATGACAGCAGGCACAGATGAAGGCAGGTCCCCACCACCTTCTTTGTCTTCACAGCAAGTTCTGCCATGCCTCTGCACTTAGTTATGGAGCTTAAGGAGGAGAGGGGCTACAAGCCTGTAATATTTATATTAAAGAAGCAGGAAAAAACCCTTTGCTTACTGATTCTGATTGCAAATATAAACAATGAAAATATAATCCAAATTTAAGCAACACAGAAGAGAATTTCTTAGTCTTGAAATGTTGGTAAGATCAAAAATTTCCATTCTTTAATGAATTTTTAATTCCATTGCCTACACTAACTTTCTCACTTTGGCATAAAAAGAAAAAGGGATGGCAAGATTTGAAGCCCTAAATACCTAGGCTGGCTATCACTCATGCTCGGAGCCATCCAAATACCATATGGGCAGAAAAAAGCAGTGGCAAAACTGATGTCCTTTTCCCGAAATGGATGGTGCATCTCTATTCTTTCTAAAGATAGTAGTGCAAGGCAGGTAGTCAGATCCAACCTCATTTGTTAAGCAAATTCAGCTATGTGAAAGGTAACAGTATCTGCTCCCTCTGTTTTACAACTAAAAGTAAGACTTATTTGAATAGAAAGAATCCACCATTTTATTTTTGTTATGTACATGTAACATTCAGTGTATGTATATGCACGTAGACTACAGTCACACACAGACACATACTATACTATAGTGTATACATATGTATTTATGTATACACACTGATTATTTAAAGAGAAATTTCTTCTTTTCTTTCAATATTAAGATTTAGCTGTACCTTTAAGAACTCCAGACTAACTTTAAAGCTGTTAATCTAAGATTGTACACTGAAAAACCTGGTGTGTAGTTCAGAACTTAAATAACATGCAGCAAGAATTTACCCATACTCTCAAAGAACCAGTAAGAGTCCCCTTCATATGTAACAATTAAATGATTGATTCTTTTCAGTCTGACACTTTTCGGTCCAGTTCCCTCTTTTAGATTCCTTTTATTATTTTCTAGACAATAGATCCCCCCAGGTTTTGATAGGGTGAGAAACCTTTGATAAGTGAGGGGACGTACAAAAGGGCATCCAGATCCCCAGATGTGACATGCTGATGCATTCTGCATTATCACACATGGCAGGAGCTCAGGAAACATTCACTGCAAGAGACTACAGAAAGAACAATGTTGGGTGTTAGATAAACGTCTCACAGTGAATATGCAGCTGAACATTAGGTCACCCAGCTTTACAAACCAAGTACAAGGCATTGCAGACTTCTGTGATAATTAAACAAAAAGTACTATTCATGTGCAAAAACAATGCTTTCCATCTTGCACCACAGGTGGCACTGAACAACAAACTCTGCTGTTCAGGATGCCACTTCTATGATGTGTTCAGTCTACCGATTCTGCTGTTTCATTATGAAACTCTCAGGATTCCCTCAGACAAAGCCAATCTTTTCTTTCCACAATCCCTATAAACCCTGTGAAACTCTCAGAGACCTGGATAACTCCCCTTTTTCCTATTTTATATTTTCTTACTTTTGTTATAGAAAAAAATCCATTTCACAACAATTCTCCCTGTCCACAAGAGGCACCGATTACATTCACAGAGGACAATGGCAGATATCCTTCTCCTGCCTTGAAAATGTTATGTGGACATTAGGCACTACATTTCAGCTGAGGAAGAAATTACTTTGCTTCAGAAATAAGATTACTGCCACTAGACACACCTCCCCCATTCAGCTTTCTAGCTCTTACTAACTTACAAAGAGGCAGACTTACCGAAGCAGTACTGAGCTTGCAGCTCTACGTATAGTTTATCATATGCACCAACAGTACCACAGGGCTAATTATGCCTCAGAAAAAAAATCATTAAAATCTCCAAATTAATGGAAAGAAAGAAGAAGAATTAAAAAACCCTCTAACTGGACTACTTTCCTATATTAATCTGTATTTCCACAGATGGATCAGTGTAATCCTGGATGTACAGATAAACAGGGGGACAGCCTTGCAGAAAAGGATCTGTGGATTGTGCTGGATGGTACGCCAAATGAGCCAGCAATGTGCCCTGGTGGCCAAAATGGCTAACTGTATCCTAGGGTGCGTTAAGCACAGTACAGCCAACTGGTTGAAAGTGGTTGAAGAAGTATATTAAGAAAATTTCTTTACTGAAAGAGTGGTCAAACATGGGAACAGGCTGCTCAGGGAAGTGGTGGAGTCACCATCCCTGGAGGTGTTCAAAAAATGTGTACATGTGGCACTTTGGAACATGGTTTAATGGGTGGGGGGGTGTTGGGTTGACAGTTGGACTTGATGATCTTAGAGGTCTTTTCCGACCTAATGATTCTATGATTCTGTGACTTCCTCATGAGGGAGGCAGAAGGGTTGGTGCTGATCTCTGGTGCATGGTGATAGGATGTGAGAGAACGGCTTAAAGCTGCATCAGGGAAGTTCAGATTGGATATTGGGAAAAAGTCCTTCAGAGAGAGGGTTCTCAAGCACTGGAACAAGTCCCCAGGGAGGCGGTCATGGCCCCAAACCTGTTGGTGTTCAAGCATTATTTACACAACACTCTTAGATATATTGTTTAACTTTTAGATTGCCCTGTGTGGAGTCAGGATTTTGACTCAATCACTCTTATGAATCCCTTCCAACTCAGTATTGTCCATTCTATGATCTCAGATCCCAACAGCTTATCTAAAATACAGGCTTCATCACTGCTTTGACATCCATAGTTTTGCCTAACTGAATTGCATAGAAAAGGAATGGAGGTTAAACAACATACAGAGCCACGTCCTGCTCCTTGTTTTGCTGAGGTAAATCTAGAACAGATGTGAACACGGAATTTTAAATAGTCAATAACTTTTACTCACTCGACAATCCCGCTGTAGTGTTTTCATTAGTGCACTGTGTGTTTCAGAGTCAAAATACAACCCTTCATGCATGTCTTGCAAAAAATCCAAGTCCTTGAATGTAGGGTTGGACTTCTCCCTCTCTTTTCTTGATGCTCGCCGTTTGTATGTGGAGCCTTTCAAGTCATATGTGAAATGCATTTTTAAGGCTCGTGGCAAAACATTGTTCATTACAACAATTCTAATATTAATGCCTCCTGACTGAACGCAATACAGTCCATAAAATTTGGGTAGAAGAGTCCTTGGATTCTGGTTCAGATTCTAAAACAAAAGAGATATTGTTAAATATGTCTATTTTCAAAAACTCCCATGCTTAAGAAAGTTTTTTTCATAACAAAGGACATTAAGAAACATCCAGAAAACTGTATATGTTTTCTTATTCAGTGTGTACACATATATATATATATATATATATATAT